AGAGGGAGACACAGAATCGGAAACGGGCTCCAGGTTCCGAGCCATCAGCCCAGAGCCTGACGCGGGGCTCGAACTCACGGACTGCGAGATCGTGACCTGGCTGAAGTCGGACGCTCAACCGACTGCGCCACCCAGGCGCCCCGGAACAAGAACTCTTCTTACTCATCGCAGGTGGGAACACAAAATGGAACCACCACTTTGGAAGACAGTCTGGAGGTTTCTTAGAAAACTAAACGTACTCTAACCATATGACCCTGCAGTTGTGCTCCCTGGTATTTACAGGCTTTGAAAACATGCCCACACAAAAACCTGCACACAGATGTTGAACACAGGCATGTTTATAATTGCCCAAACTTGGAAGCCACGAAGATGTTCTTCAGTAGATGAACGGATAAACTGTGGTCTATCCAGACAACTGGAACATCATTTAGTGCTAAAAAGAAATGAGCCATCGAGCCAGGATATATAGGAGCCTTAAATACACAATGCTAAGGGACAGAAGCAAATCTGGAAGGCTACACAGTAAATGATTTCGATTACTGGTTACTCTGGAAAAGGCAAAACTATGGAGGAAGTGAAAAGACGACAGGTTGCCAGGGGTTAAGGACGGGGAATGAACAGGCAGAGCAGAAAGGGTTTCAGGGCAATGAAAATACTCTGTACATTATAACAATGGATACATATCATTATACATTCATCCAAACGATAGAATATACGACACCAAAATTGAATCCTAATGTAAACTGGGGACTCTGGGTAATTATCATGTGACAATGTGGGTTCAACAACTGTAACAACCGTACCACTCTGGTGTCGGGGGGGAGGGGGTCCTGATGATGGGGGACAGTGTACATGAGTAGGAGCAGTGGGTGAACGGGAAATCTCTATACTGTCAATTTTGCTGTGAATCTGAAACTGCTCAAAACAAAACAAAAGGCTTTATAAAGAATGTCTATAAAAGACAAAGATTAAAAAAAAAAACGTTAGTGGGGGGCGGGGGGAAACTCTTGCCTTATCTGATCAGGCTCTGATTCCAGTCGTTCCCACACATCTTACAAAACAGGTTTTCAGTTTTGGTTGCCATTAAAACAAAAAAGTAAAATTGTCTGGAAATTTTTTTAAATGACATACATGTAGCTGTATCAAAGACAATGGCAGAATTTCAACTTATCATAAACTGCTCTTTCCATTAAAATTAACTTTTAAGGGGTGCCTGGATGGCTCAGTCGGTTGAGCGTCCAACTCTTGTTTTCAGCTCAGGTCATGATCCCAGGGTCATGGGATCAAACCCTGCATCAGGCTTCATGATGAGTATAGAGCTTGCTTAAGATTCTCTCTCACTCTCCCTTCACCCCTCCCCTGTTCACACTCAAGCTTGCTCAAAAAAAAAAAAAAAAAATTAACTGCTGAAAATAAAGTTTGTTTCATCAAAAAATTTGGATTTTTTTTTTCCTGGATGTAGCAAATAATTTTACACAAACACGCAAATAATGTTATACAAAAATGAGACAGAAATCACTGCAAAGACTGGTTTTCTACGGCCTGTGAAGGAAATCAATTTACAATACACTAAGTGGCATAAAAAAATGCAAAGTATGTGTTTATAAGCATTTTTCTAGCGAGAGGTCCACAGCTGTCAAATTCTCAAAGAGAGCCATGCATGACCCAGATAAGACTGAGAATGGCAAGTTCTTAGGTGTAAGTTAAATCAAGACATTCACCCACTATTTAATACTAAGGGTTCTACTACCTTCATTTATGAAACCTTCTCTGACTTCCATCCTGTGTACATAGCTCCTTTCCACAGACATAAAAAGAAAGTAATTTACTGCCACCCAAGTATTTAGAAAAGGGCTAGGGAGGGGTGCCTCGGTGGCTCGTCGGTTAAGCCTCTGACTTTGGCTCAGGTCATGAACTAGTGGTTTGTGGGTTCAAGCCCCACATTGGGCTCTGTGCTGACAGCTCAGAGCCCGGAGCCAGCTTCAGATTCTGTGTCTCCCTCTCTCTCTGCTCCTCCCCTGCTCACACTCTGTCTCTCTCTCAAAAATAAATAAAGATTAAAAAAATTTTCTTAAGGGGCGCCTGGGTGGCAGAGTCGGTTAGGCGTCCGACTTCAGCCAGGTCACGATCTCGCGGTCCGTGAGTTCGAGCCCCGTGTCGGGCTCTGGGCTGATGGCTCAGAGCCTGGAGCCTGTTTCCGATTCTGCGTCTCCCTCTCTCTCTGCGCCTCGCCCGTTCATGCTCTGTCTCTCTCTGTCCCAAAAATAAATAAACGTTGAAAAAAAATTTTTTTTTTTAATTTTTTTCTTAAAAAGTGCTAGGGAACATCAGAAGTGTTCATTATTAGATACAAGACAACAACCGGAAGTCAATTAAATCACCCCAAAACTTTTTTGGTTTTGTTTCTGAGAGAGAAAGAGAGAGAGACAGCATGCGAGCACAAGTGTTGGGGAGACGTCGAGGGAGAGAGAGAATCTTTTTTTTTTTTTTTAAGTTTATTTGAAAGAGTGAGCGAGTTTTAGTGCATGCGTGTGAAGCAGGAGGAGGGGTGGAGAGAATCCCAAGCAGACTCCCTGCTGTCAGCGCAGAGCCCCACAAGGGGCTCCATCTCACAGACTGTGAGATCACCACCTGAGCTGAAATCGAGAGACGGACACTTAACCAACTGAGCCACCCAGGCACCCCTAGAGAGAGAGAGAAAGAGAATCACGCAGGCTTCACCCCAAGCATGGGGGCCCACAGGGCTCAATTTCACAACTATGAGATTATGACCTGACCCGAAATCAAGAGTCTGCTGCTTAACCAACTGGGTGCCCGGGCACACAAACCCCCACCACCATTTTTTTGTTTGTTTTTAAGGATACATTCACATCTGGTTGACAAGACCCTGGAAAATTGGGCTATATAGGTTATGAAAGGTCCATAACCTCTAATCCAAAGGAGAATTTACCAAATAATCCAAAAGCAGGTTAAAAATTGTGTATGCAGAAGGATGCTTAACTGTAATAGATCAGTCAAAACCCGGGCTCCAAAGACTACCTGTGGGGATTCACTTAGAAGTTATGCCACACGAGGTAAGTTTCTTAACCTGTTTCCATGCTTATTAAAAAAAAAAAAAAAAGGGATGGAGAGCTTGGGTGGCTCTTTTTTTATATATATTTATTGATTTGGGGAGTGTAGCTAAAAGTCTGATTGATTTATTGTGAATCTTCCATGAATTTTCAAAGAACCAAATTTCAGTAGTGACTCTAAAGCAATCAAAAAAGAACAACTGTTTACTATCAAATTCTTGTTTCCCTTCTTTTTTGCATACCAGGTCTTCTTAAATCCTCAGAAATATTTACTAAAATCTTCTTGCATTCCTAAAAATTTTGATACGTTTACTGTCTATGTTATTTGGCATATACAGTATTATCTGTATTCTAATTTCCTTAAAACCTACACTTCTTGTCACAACATAATGTTATTCTTTACGCTCTTTAGTGTTTGTGGGGGGGGGGGGGGAAGGGGAGTCTTTTGAGAGAGAGGGAGCGAGAATGAGCAGGGGAGGGGCAGAGAGAGAGAGAATCCCGGGCAGGATCTTTCTCTGTAGGCACGGGGCCCAAGGAGGGGTTCGAGCTCACGAACCTCGAAATCATGACCTTAGCTGAAACCAGGAGTCTGTCACTTAACCGAGCCACCCAGGCAACCCTATACTATTCAGTGCTTTTAATTTAAATTCCCTGTGTCTAATTTTTTTGTATTCACAAGAATGTTGTATTTATGTGCTCCTCCACATATATTAAAACTTTATTCACTCTGTTTTAAAAAAATACTCAGCACACAGTAAGCCCTCTGTAAAGGTGTCCTCACTTATTTAAAAATACTAAGCATCAACTAGGTGTCAGGCACTGTGCTAGGTGGCTGGGACTATGTCAATGAAGATGTTGCCCTCTTGTAATTTACTTGCTAACAGTGGCAGATGATAAACTACATATAATAAGTAAATGATGGGGCACCTAGATGGCTCAGTCGGTTGAGCATCCGATGTCGGCTCAGGTTATGATCTCATGTTTGGGAGTTCGAGCCCTGCATCAGGCTCTGTGCTGACAGCTCACAGCCTGGAGCCTGCTTCGGATTCTGGGTCTCCCTCCCTCTCTCTGCTCCTCCCCCACTCACACTCTATCGCTTTCTTTTAAAAAAAAAAAAAAAAAAAAGGAGGGGCCCCTGGGTGGCTCGGTCGGTTGGGCTTCCGACTTCGGCTCAGGTCATGATCTTACAGTCCGTGAGTTCGAGCCCCGCGTCAGGCTCTGTTCTGACAGCTCAGAGCCTAGAGCCCGCTTCGGATTCTGTGTCTCCCTCTCTCTCTCTGCCCCTCCCCTGCTCATGCTCTCTCTCTGTCTCAAAAATAAATAAAAACATTAAAAAAAATTAAAAAAAAAAAAGGAAATTATGGAGTATGAAAAGGTGAAAAGAGCTATAAAAAAAAATGGAACTTCAAACACTGGGCGTGGTAGGAGTTGCAATTTTTCAATGGAATGCAGCTTATTGAAAAGGTGACATCTGAGCAAAGAATTCAAGAGGCAGCCAGGTGAATATCAGGAGTATTCAGGAAGAGCCAAGCCCTGAGGCAGAAACATGCCTGGCACATCAGAGTGAGAACAAAAGGAGATTACAGCAGATGAGCGAGGGCAGGAGTAGTAGGGAAAAAGGATCAGAAAGGTAGGAAGAGACTGACTCAAGCATGGCCTACAGACAAATGCGCCCGAAGTGAGGTAGGAGCCACTGTAGGATCTGCACAAGAGTAACAGGACGGTCGTACGTGCTACAGGAGCGCCCTGGCTATTGTGCTGACGAAGAGCACAGGGGAGAAGCACAGAAGGGGAGCACCTCTCGGTGGCAGGCTATTTGTGACTGAAGTGTTAGAAAAACCCTGGTCTTTCAGCATGAGAAATTGCTCTTGGATTCAGTTAACTGTCTAGCTCTGTTCCCCAGGAAACCATGAATGTCAGAAACCACAGAATGTCAGCTGTGTTACTAGGCAACATGGCTTATGGTAAAAATGACCCATTGGTAAATTGCTTGGGTCTGAGAGGGACTAAAAATACCTGGAGAGTGGCTGTAACTTTGGACTTCTCCTAGTGTGGTGACTCCTGTAACCGAGCCTGTACCCCGTGGGGATCCTAGAAACCTTGCTCATGGGTGGTCATACAAGGTAACGGCTTTTGTGGAACATGCAGCTTCTTAGGTTGGCTACATACCCCCTTCGTGGGAGCCTCATTATTCACACCTAAGCTCCACCTGAAGGAGGGGGCACAGAGAATAGTTCTGGCTATTCTTCCTTCTTCTTTAAAAAAATAACATTAAAAGTAAACTCTAGGCCCACTGTAGACTTGAACTCACAACCCCCAGACCAAGAGTCGGGTGCTCTACCGACTGAGCCACCCCTGGCTGTTCTTTCAGCACTGCCACCAGGACCTCCCAAAAAGAACACTGGTCCTTCTCTGCTGACAAGCTGTGTTTCCTGTCCCATATCCTCGTAAGTGAATGTGATGTCAAATACGGATTGCCACAGGCCACAGGTCTGGTTGAACCCTACTAAAATTCCCTGGGTAGGCACTGTTCTAATGCAGTAGAATATACAAGAAACAGCAGTAGCATGGACCAGGATGGCAGTGGTATAAGTAGGAACAAATAGTAAAACGTAAAGATAATTTGAAGGAGGAGCTCATAGGATCTTCTAATGAATAAAACATGGGATGTGAAAGAGTAAAGTTAGGGATGACACCAAAAATTTTGGCCTTAGCAACTGGAAAGATGGAGTGGAAATTGGGATAGGGGAAGAACTGGAGACCTGGAGTTCAGTTTTAGACAATTTTGAGTTGAGGGTCATTCTCAACTCACTTTTCCCTTCTGTGACCCAAGATGGCTGTAGCAGCTCCAAGTATCATGAGCTCATATAACAACATCCAAGAGAAGGGCTGTACCTTCATATACCGAAGGATACTAGACTCCAGCAGACTTCTGTGTCACTATCCCGAAACCAATCATGAGCAAGGAGAATGGAACATAATGGGCTTTAGGCTGAGCCATACTCACAAACTGCCACCTTCGGAATGGAGGCGAGGAAAGTCCATGAAACTCATGGGCGCTAAATATCTGGACAAAATTGGGCCTCTGTTAGCAAGGAAAGACACGAATAGGTACAGTGTGTGTCAAAGGTATTAGATGAACCATCCACATCAATGTGGAATAAAAGATTAGTCACGCGGAATAAAAGATTAGTAATAAAGAACAGGTACAAAATAAGACAGGGAGCCAGGCTTCGGTAAGTGAGAGGAAGTGACCTACCTTCTGTTCCATGAAAAAACATGTAGACAAATCCTGTGAAATTATACAACAACCAAGAAAAGATTCTAAATGATTTGAGGAAAAAACAAAAATGAAGACTCTGACTAAAATCAGAAACTCTCAACTGCAGGAGAGCAAGGTCGCAGAAATTTCTAAAGTGAAATAATTGTGACCTAGATTTTTATATTCAAATGATCCATCAAGTAAGAAAGCAGAAAAAAGACACTTTCAGACATGTAAGGGCATTACTTGAGGGTATTCTCTAGCAACAAGGATGAAACCCAATAAAGTAGATGTGAGAACACAGTGGAAATGATCCAAGAGTGAAATGAAAAAGACGTCCCAGGATGGCAGCTGTGCAGCAGAAATAGACAATAATTCATCCTATTAAAACAAAATTAGTGAACTCCATGAAAGGAAGAAAGGAGTGGACTCCATTCAAAAGATACAATCACTAAGAAGCTGGTGTAATGACAGGAATGCATATGTTTCTTTTCTCAATAAAAAAAAGAAAATTATGCAACAGAAAATTCCCACAAAATGCTGATTGTTTACCCAGTTTTCCTCCCTTACTGCTTGCTAAAAAAACCTAGTTGTTTTTTCTCTTTCTTTTTAAGGTTATCAGGTAAAATCACAGGACTAGAGAAGGTAGCCTCTCTCCCAGACCCATGGGACAAAGTCCCTGTAGATCTAAACTAAGCCTGGAAATCCCAGTCTCCTCTGCTAGTAATTGGCCTGAGCAACTGCTCCTGTCCCACTGTAGAGAAGCTGTTCGTTTCCGACCTACGAGACATACAGGAAAATCATCTGGGGAGCTTCTTGAAAGATTTTCCAAGATGAAAAGAGATGGGACAGGGAGGAAATCTGTGATAATGGATGTTATTGGGCAACTGGTGAATTTGAATGTAGACTGTATTAGATAGATAGTATTGCATCATGGCGGACATGGAGAGGTACCACCCACATCCAAACAACTCACCACCAGGCGGAGAAGTATGGTTATGCTGTTAGCTTCATCACGGTTGGCTTCAGCTGTCAAGAGGAGTGCTCGGTGTTCTCTGGACAGCTCAAGCTCATAACTGAGAAAGCAAGGTACAGGCCAAGCCATTTCTACCCAACACAGAATGGTTCTAATGGACAATCCTGCCTCCAGGTCTGCTCCTTCTGCCGGCAGACAAGCCACCACAATCTGACGGCTCCACTTGCCCACTACTGCTTCCTTCTTTTTAGATTTGTGCAATCCTAATCCTGGCCTCAGCATCTGCTTCTGAGCGAATACAAATGTTAAATTTCCTGAATTTAATCACTGTTCCACGATCACATGAGGAAGTCCTTTCCTTAGATGATATGCAGTAAAGCATTTAAGAATAAAGAGTCATGATCTCTACAATTTTCTCTCAAAAGATTCCCCCCAAACAACTATAGACCCATAGACAAAGATAAAGGAAAAAGCAAATATAGCAAAATGTTTATAACAAGTGAATCGAGGTAAAAGTTAGACAAGAGTCCACATGACTTCTCACAATTTTATGAGTTTTTAAATTTGTCTAAAATAGGTTTTAAAAATGGGGAAGATCCACAAGAAGCAGCACCCATTCTATGCCCTTCTCCCCGCCTTTTAGGAAGTGAGAAAAGGATACTTGGTGCAGCGGTAACCACCGCCAGTAAAAGAAAGGTCAAGACCATCAGCTGGGTCACCTGTGGTCGGATATTCTGCAAAATGCTGCCAAAAGAACCAAAGTGAAACACCAGGATAAACAAAAAGCTAGTCAGGAAAGTCATAGCTCTGGAGTGCCTGGCTGGCTCAGTTGGTAGAGTGGGTGACTCCCGATCTCAGGATCGTGAGTTCAAGTCCTATGTTGGGTATAGAGACTGCTTAAGAAAAATCAAAATTAAAAAGAAAAGAAAAAAAGAGAAAGTCGTGGTTCAAATGTGGAAAAAAAAAAAAAAAAGGACAGGATTTCGAGCAACTAATGGATTACAGGAAGAGAATCCATTTGTCTTTGACACTAGAAGCATCATCCTTCTGTTGGCCTGGGTCATGATACTGGCATAGAGAGAAGGAAATGTCACCATAATTACTTCATCACTCTGCAATGAATACCTGCATAATAATTAAGACATCAGACCAATATAAAAACCAAGCACCAAAGCCTTCATTAAGGTTGCAGAACAGAACATAAATGTTCTCCACCTTGTCAGTGTAAAAGGCACAGCTGACAGAGATTGGAAGCTGGAGTGAGGGAGAGCAAAAACAGAAAGGACAAGCAGTGGGAAAGAGTACGATTTTAATTTTGAATCCCTGAAGACTAGACATCTCTAAGCATATTCCACTTGACCCATTTTTTAACAGCTTTTATTGAAATATAATTCACATACCATAAAATACACCAGTTTACTTTTAGTCTTTTTATTACTGAGTTATTAGAGTTCTTTAGAGAACTTCGATACAAGTCCCTTATTAGATAGAAATTGCAAATACTTTCTCCCATTTTGTGGGTTGTCTTTTCACTTTCTTGATGGTGTCCTTTGAGGCACAAAAGTTTTTAATTGTGATAAAGTCCAATTTATCTATTTTATTCTTTGTTGCTTGTGCGGTCAGTGTCCTACCTAAGAAGGCTTTGCCTAGCCAAGGTCAGTAAGATTTATTCATGTTTTCTTCTACGAGTTTTATCATTTCTGCTATTACATTTAGGCCTATGATGCATTTTTAGTTAATCTGGGTATATGATGTGAGGAGGAAGTTCAAATTCGTTCTTTTGCATGTAAATCTCCAGGTTTCTCAGCACAATTTGCTGAAAAGACTATTCTTTCCCTATTGAATTTTCTTGGCACATTTGTCTAAAAAAAAAAAAAAAAAAACAAAAACTATTGATCACAGAATACTTCTGGATTCTCAATACTATTCAGTTGATTTATACGTACTGACACTTTAAGGTGAAATCCAGGTAATGTAAGTAAGCGTTTTAAAGTGTATGGCTAGGGGTGCCTGGGTGGCTCAGTCGGTTAAGCGTCCGACTTCGGCTCAGGTCATGATCTGGCGGTTTGTGAGTTCGAGGCCCGCGTCGGGCTCTGTGCTGACAGCTCAGAGCCTGGAGCCTGTTTCCGATTCTGTGTCTCCCTCTCTCTGACCCTCCCCCGTTCATGCTCTGTCTCTGTCTCAAAAATAAACATTAAAAAATAAATAAATAAAGCATATGGCTCAATACCACACAGTACATTCACAATGTTTTACAACCAACACCCCTATTTCCAAAACCTTTTCATCATCCCACATCCATCAGATAGTCCATCCTCATTCCCCATGACCTTGGCAACCACTCATCTAATTCACATCCGTATGGACATAACGGTCCTGGATATTTCATATCAGTGAAATCACATGTGATCTTCTGTGTCCAGCTTCTTTCACTCAGCAGGTTTTTGCGGTTCATGCACTCTGTAGCGTTTATCAGTAGTTCACGGTTATGGCTGAATAATATTCCATTGTGTAGATAAGCCACACTTTGGTTATCCACTCATTAGTTGATGTACATCTGGGTTGTTTCTACGTTTTAACTAATGTAAATGGCTACGTAAGTACAGAACTACTATAAATATTCATGTTCAAGTATTCGTTTGAGTACCTGTTTTCAATTCTTTTGGGTACATATGTAGGAGTAGACTATCTGGTTCATGTCATAATTCTAGATTTAACTGTTTGAAAAACCACCAAACTGTTTTCCACAGCAGCTGTGCCATTCTGCTACCAGCAATGTACAAGGGTTCCAATTTCTCCCTATCTTCACCAACATATGTGATTTTCTGTTTTCTGATTGATTCGCATGTGACATCCGTAACTCAACACAATACTCCAGGTGTTGTCTGGACGGTACAAAATAAAGTAAGACTAACACCTTTCCTCTTCTGAACCTCCTTCCTGTTAAGTCCCGACTAGGAATCTATGCAGGCTTTCTCGTAGTCCCATTACATTTTATATCCAGATGGAGTTTATTACAGTAATTAAAATACCTAAGTTGTTTGTATTCAACCACATCTCCCTCACTCCTATAATTATGCAGATGTTTTCTCAACTCATATACAGAACTTCATATCAAACTCCTTTAAGTTATCATGGTAGCCTTGACCCACCATTTCAGTCAGAAATATTTTTTAAAGTTACCCCTAAAAAATACATTTCATCCAAAAATGTGATAAGCGTAGTATCAATGTTTTTATTCACATTACAAAAACATGGACAGCAGCCTTCAGCAATAGGAATGTTTCTCCAGTTGTCACGAATTCCCTATTACTAATTTTTATTTATTTTTTTATCTTTATTTATTTTTGAGAGAGAGCGAGAGTGTGAGCGGGGAAGGAACAGAGACAGAGGGAGACACAGAATCCTGGAGGCTCCAGGTTCCGAGCTGTCAGCACAGAGCCCGACGCGGGGTTCGAACCTACGAACCGCGAGATCATGACCTGAGCTGAAGTCGGACACGCAACCGACTGAGCCACCCAGGTGCCCCCACTATTACTAATTTTTAGAGTTGCTACTCAACCACTCATATTTCCACCTGATTTTATGGTCATCCAGCCCACACTCCTCCACTTGTCAACAGAGAAAGGTTGCAGAATGCCTGTCTGAAATTCACTGATACTGCATTCTCTGCATTCTCCTGACCCACAGACTAATAATCCTACCTAAAAAGAAGTATGGTTTGGGGCACCTGGGTGGCTCAGTCACTTACGGGTCCCAATCTTGGTTTTGGCTCAGGTCATGAGCTCACGGTTTGTTCTGAGCTCAAGCCCCACATCGGGCTCTCTGCTGTCAGCACAGAGCCCGCTTTGGATCCTCCGTCTCCCTCTCTCTCCTCCCCTTCCACATGTGTGCACTCTCTCTCTCAAAAATAAACACTTAAAAAAAAAAAAACAACTAAGGTTTGTCTAACATAATTGTCTCTAGTGAGCCCATGTAATACTTTCCTTTAAAAATATAATCACAGGGGCACCTGGGTGGCTCAGTTGGTTAAGCGTCCGGCTTTGGCTCAGGTCATTATCTCGTGGTCTGTGGGTTCGAGCCCCGCGTCAGGCTCTGTGCTGACAGCTCAGAGCCTGGAGCCTGTTTCAGATTCTGTGTCTCCCTCTTCCTCTGACCCTCCCCTGTTCATGCTCTCTCTCTGTCTCAAAAGTAAATAAATGTTAAAAAAAAAAAAAAATTAATAAAAAATAAAAATATAATCATAGTCAATGTTTTTAGTACATAAAACACAATGAACTCAGATTAAGTCATACTACATTTCAAATCTTATTTGGAGTTTTATATAGCAACAAACTTAATACAAAGAAAAAGCAGTATGTATCTCGTGTTATACTTGAGATTATCAAGACAAATGTGTGTCAATTTATTGTAATTTAGGTTTATACATTTTTTAAATTCTACAAGAGGCTCTCCTCAACCATAAAAATTCAATAGGAAAAAAAACATTTTCCACCAATCCAAAGCAAAATGAGATTTTAAGAACTCTTGTGTTTCTAGTAATACAGATTATTTTATTGAAACCAGTTTTCCTAATTCCTTTAAGAGCACATTCCTCACTCAAAAATTTCTTTTATGAAGCCTTCTTAGGTTGTTCAGGTCTAAAACAGCCTCCCCTACTCTGCCCTCTCATACCTACTTACTATCCTTACCACTCACTTTAACATCTGATGTTTGGTATTTACTGCTTGTTAACAGTTGGCTAATTTACCTATTGTCCGCAACAGTCTCCTGCAGAGAAGAGACACTCATTCATTTCTAACCTCATCACAACCAACATAGTATAATGCTTATGAAAAGGTAAGCACTCAAGTTCTTATATTAACTTATATCGCATATAATAGTTAGAAACCTAACCAGAATTGAAATCAAAGAGGAAATTATCTGATAAATGTGAAGACATTTCAGAGTATTGTGGTCCTTTGGGGTGACTGCAGTGTGGTAACTAAGGGAAAGCAGCGTCAAACAGAAGGTTCTCCGAGATGAGAGAGCTCCGTGCATATTTCCAGGTAGCAGGCAAGGAGGCAGGAAAAAATGAAGACACAGGAGGTGACGGAAAATATGGAAGAGATGAGATTGTGGGGCTCAGTAAAAAGAGGATAAAGGACATTTTTCCTTCTGAAAAAGGAAAGCTAGCTACACAGATACATTGAACCAGACAAGGGTTAACTTCAATAGGTGATTTTTAAGAGAAAGACCATGTTTATTTAGCTAATATTTATCAAGCAAGCACCACGTCAGTTTCCTGTAGTGCAATCAATTGCCGCAGTGACAAATTATCACAAACTTACTGGCTTACAATTCATTATCTTACAGTTCTGGAAGTCAGAAGTCCAAAACAGGTCTCACTGGACTAGAGCCAAAGTGTCGGCAGAGCTGGGTTCCTTTCTGGAAACGCTAAGGATAATCCATTTTCTTGCCTTTACCAGTTTATAGACGCTGCCCACATTCCTCAGCTCCCAGGCCCCTTTTATCTTCAAAGCCTCGGTGGACATTTGGTTCCTTCTCATGATGCTATCTCTCTGGTCCTGACTCTTCTGCATCCTGCTTCTCTTAAAGACCCTTGCGATTACATTAGGCTCACCAGATAACCCAGAGCACTCCCTTTCAAAATTAGCTGATTAGCAACCTTAATTCCACCTGAAGCCTAAATCCCCTTCAGCTGTGTGATACAACGTCCTCAGTTCCGGAGATTAAGATGGGGAGGCCTATTCTGCCTGCCACGAGCACTATGCTGTGTCCTTTGCTTATATCTTTTAATTTAATCCCCACAACAACTCTATTTTACACGTGAGGAATCTGAGGCCACCCCACTTTCAGACTTGACATGACTCATAAGAGATACTACTATAATAATATTCAGTACTTGTGTAACTGAACCGGTAGAATCAGGATAGAGATAACACAGCCTCCACTGGTCTGTCCCAAAGCCCTCACTACCCTCTCTCTACGTGTGTGTGTGTGTGTGTGTGTGTGTGTGTGTGTGTGTGTGTGTGTGTGTGTGTGTGTGTGTGTGTGTGTGTGTCAGGGTGAAGGGAAAAAGGCTTCTCCTTCTCCCATCAACCAAAACCATATCCTCTTTCATCGTGTGAAATCTCTGTGCATGATTTTGTAAATCTCTACACACCAGGCTGCATTCCACTTAGGCTTTGGTGTATGCGATGAGGTCATATGGTAGTATGTTAAGAAATAAGGCAACACTGGGTGTTACAGGAAAGCGATGAATCACTAAATTCTATTCCTGAAAAAAATAGATTTTGATTTAAAAAAAGAAGGCTAAAATTATTTCATTTGTAGATTCCTTCCTAAATGGTATAATTTTAGGTTCCAGATTTGAACATATAAATTATTTTTATAACTATTTCAAGTATTCAGATATATCCCCCAAGGTATAATATATTGGATTAGAGATTATCAACATTTTAATATGTCTCGACATACATAACCCATTATTTTTCAGGATCCCATCAACCATACATATAGGAAAGGTTCCTTTTTGAAAAAAAATGATTGCAATATAATTGACTTCCAGGTATCTCTCCTCATTTAGTAATGAACTCTTATGTTGTTCCATCGCTCTCCCTAAACACTTGGGTAACAATAATTTTCTTTCCATGTCCTAAAAAAAGGCTCCAGGCATAGGATGGAGATCAGGGAAATGGTCTCTGATTGACAGCAAAAGCCTTGATGTTACATAGTTGGCAAATGTCTTGATTGAACTTTCGTCTCTAGAGCAGCCATTGTTTTTAATGTTTATTTATTTTTGAGAGAGACAGACAGACTTCGAGCAGGGCAGTGGCAGACAGAGAGGGAGACAGAGAATCCAAAGCAGGCTCCAGGCTCTGAGCTGTCAGCACAGAGCCTGACATGGGGCTCGAACTCATGAACTGTGAGATCATGACCTGAGCCCAAGTCGGACCCTTAACCAACTGAGCCACCCAGGTGCCCCGAGCAGCCATGTTTTAAAAAGATTTATTTATTTTTGGGAGAAAAAGCGCAAGTGGGGAAGGGGCAGAAACAGAGGGGGACAGAAGATCCAAAGCGGGCTCTGCGCTGACAGCAGCAAACTCGATGGGGGGCCGTGAGATCATGACCTGAGCCAAAGTCGGATGCTCAACCTACTGAGCCACTCAGGTGTCCTGAGCAGCCATTTTTAATCTTTTCAGGATCATGGACTCTGCTTTGAAAGCTGATAAACCTATGGACCTCTTCCCACTAGAAAAATGCATACGCACTCACACTCAAAATTTTTCATACAACCCATTTTATTGCGTTTTAAATCTACTGCCATCACAGACCATATAAAACTAGTCTTTACAAGGATATCTGTATGTCTCACTTTTGGTTGTGTGCCAAAATTTGCTACACCCAGAAATAAAAACCTAAAGTATGCAATAAAACGAACCAAACTTTAATTATTTTTGACAAATAGATACCAAAGTAGTGATGACTGCTGGCTGTAGTGCCTCTGGCACCAAAACATGGGTCTCAGGGAAAACCCACCTCTTTTACATTATTCCCCAGGGAGACCTGGGAAAACACGGGTGTTACAAGGCTCAGGTCCCGACAATAAGGAAAATGGCGTTAACTGAATTTAATGAGTGTTTCCCAAAATAATAACATTTTATACTTTGTACACTTATAAAAAGGAAAGATGCGCTTTGGTTTGTTTGAAGTACGCTCCCCACCCAATGTAGGGCTTGAACTCATGACCCCAAGATCAAAAGTCACATGCTCTACTGACTGAGCCAGCCAGGTTCCCCTAGGAAAGACAGGGTTTTAAAATTGGGAAACATTAATATACATGTAAATATTTGAGGAAAAAAGCATACCAGACCTACTAGTTCAAAACGTATTAAGCTCAAAGTGGAGTACCCGCACCTGTCAGAGACAGGGTGATGATCATGCCGCTGGGGTGAAAAGAAAATCCTGTAAGACTAAACGTATGTGTTCTCTTAAATTTGAAATTGAGCTTTACGAATACTCAGTACGTGAAATCGACACCAGCACGTTCTCCCGTTCCTACATCAGGCTGCTGCAGCCTTGTGGCCTTTACGTGAAGAACGCCAGTTACCACGGATTGCCTCACTCGACCTCCAGCGTACCTCTAGGCTCCCTGAAAGGCACCTCTCCTAGGAGTCCGGGGGTAAGCACGGTCGTGGAAATAGGAGTTCTGTCTACAGCATCACTCCAGCGTCCAGTCTCCAGCTTCCTGGGGGGCAAGAAGCAGAGTGGCAGGAGCCACAGAGCGGAAGCTTTTTGATCTGACTTCCCAGTCCTGAGCTGATGCGCTCCGTCTGTCCCGCAGTTTCCAGAGGGGCCACAGAGGTGGCACAAGCTCTGGCTCCCAGTACAGGGACAGGGACGGCGGTGCCTTCTGAGTTCCCCCGAGGGGTCACTTCTGGATTGTCGCCCTAGAGGAGCTGTTAGGCTCTTCTAACAGTTCTGTAAGCATCTTATACCCTTTCAGTAAATCTCGTCTTGTTTCAAATACTCAGAAGAGTTTTGTTTGTGGCACTGACTGCACACACAGTGTTCTAGGAGGTCCAAGTAGGTCAAGGAAAGAAGGCAGGCTCCACACCCTGGAGGGGCTGTTTGTGACGCCCTCACTGGTTTGTTCACTTTCAGCAAACTGCCACATCCTGCAGCTTCCTTGGGCCCAATTAAGTACATCTGCAGATCTCATTACAATTATGATCTCACTCACTAATGGGTTTTCAAACATTTTTGCAAACGAACAAAGTGAAAAAGACAGCGAGACAAACCAAAACACAGACTCTCAACTATAGAGAACTGAGGGGGGCAGGAACCAGCATGGGGGAAACAGCTGATGGGGATTAAAGCGTGCCCTTGCAGCGATGAGCCCTGAGTGATGTATGCAACTGTTGAATCACTATATGTACACCTGAAATGAATAGAATACTGTATGTTAACTATACTAGAATTAAAAATTTTTTTAACTAAAAAAAAATAAAGACTGCCAGAATTGGATACTTAATTAAAATATCTGTAACAAATAAGAACAGATTTTTGCAAGGGCTCCTGGGGGACACAGATGACTCTTGACTTCAGCTCAAGTCTTTTTTTTTTTTTTTTTTTAATGGTTATTCACTTTTGAGAGAGAGAGTGTGAGCAGGGGAGGGACACAGAGAAGGAGAAACAGAGGATCCAAAGCAGGCTCTGCACACTGACAGCAGCAAGCCTGACACAGGGCTCGAACTCACGCACCATGAGATCGTGACCTGAGCCAAAGTCAGATGCTCAACTGACTGAGCCACCCAGGAGCCCCATATCAGCTCAAGTCTTGATCTCAGAGTTGGGGAACCTACTTAAAAAAATTTTTTTTTAATTTAAAAATAAAAAATAAGAGTTTTGCAAAGAAAGGTGGATTAAATATAATAAAGCAAAATACAAGCAAGCAACAAGAAAATGGCAGAACTGACAACTGTGTGTTAACAATACCAGTACTTTATCAAAACTGTAAGGTAAAAGTGATTATCTTGTAAACTGTAAAACTATACAGCTTTCAGAAGAAAACAAAGGAAAAACATCTTTGAGACCTACCACTGGACAGAGTCCACAAATGTGACACCAAAAGCACAATTCATAAAAGAAAAAAAAAGATTGAATGCACTACATGAAACTTCTAACTTCTTCACTGTAAGAGACCCTGTTAAGAGGATGAAAAAACAAAACAAAACAATTTTTGCCAATCACGTATCTGACAAAGAGCTTATTCTCAAAGCTCAATAATAAAAAACAATCCAAATTGTTCATTAGGGAAACAATTTGCCCACTGG